CTTACAGAATTTTAAGCTCAAACTAAAAAAAAATATGCAACTTGCACATTATATTGTAAACAACTATTATTTGTATTGAATTGCTTTTCTTTTATTAAAAAAAAAAATATTTCCTTACTGTTGTGTATTTTTTTTTTTTGGAAAATATTTTCTCATTATATATTATACATATTATAATTAGGTGTTCTCTGTAAATAGATAAGTATTTTATCTTTTGATCATACAATTTTAGTTATATCGTTTAGCTATACATTTTTTTCCCCCAAACAAAATTAATTTGCTAAAAAAGTTACACACACAATCACCCAAAAAAATAAGAATTAAAAAGTGATTATCTAGCGTAAAAGTTATGACAATTTATAGTTGATTGGGTTGAATTTCAAAACAAAACAAACGAAATCATTATCGAATCAACCGCATGCACATAAGTAAGTATTCTTTGAGAAGTTAATCAACATAAATATTTTAAAAAGCGTTCCTTAATTACGCCACCGACTTAAATGAACATATTTTTCGAAAAATACGTATATTTTTAGTATTTAAGTTAATTTTTAACAACGCTGTGATTTATGTAACTTAAAACGAACTGCTTGATACAAGTGCATAACACTTGTGATTCTCAATCATTGATATAAAACAATAAAATGCATTAAACTATCGAAAACTTGTCTTTATTTCAAAGAACACTAAATATATATAAAGACATAGAGTAAAGTTAAAAAGTATGAATAATTTGTTCATAATTGACTACTCAATTTTACAATACAATATTTAAAAAATACCCACACAAGTGTATACAATGGTTAATGTAAAAAAGTTTATGTACAATACATAAAAAAATGGAACATAGTATCAATACCTATTTATTATTTCCAATATGAATGTATATAACATTACAGTTTCAATAATAAAAGTGAAACAAGGATTGTATAAATATGCATAAACAACTAAAAATAAAAACACGTTTATGTTAAAAAACTAAATACATAATATTTATTTAATACCTATAGTTAATATTTTTTATTTTTTTTTTATATTTATGTACATCATTATAATATATAATATCTATAGTTTATAGTGAATACAATATAGGTACCTATAAATGTACAATACAATATGCTATTAGTCAATAGTCTATAAAACATGATTTAATGGAGAAATTAGGGGGTTTGCCCACTCCCCCTAGATGTTTTAAGTCACTTCTGGATTCAATCCAAATCCTCGCGTAAGTAACAAAAAAACTGGCTTGATGGCTCAATTTGTAAAATAATTAATCATTATATAGGTTTAATGTTTATGAATATGTAATATAGTAATAATGTACGAGCTTATGTATAAGAAAAATCAAACAATAAATCAGGTCGACCATGACCGAAACCGATTTCGTGATCTGACTATATAATATGTATAGAATAAGAGACCAATAATTCAATAAAAATTAAATCAAACTCTTAATAATGACATCTCATAAAATATATGTTCGTCTAAAACATATGGCATACACACTTATAAAATAAATAAATAATTATTAACTATACTTATTTTAATGTTGACTTTTCATGTTTAATAACAAAGGAGGACGCTTTTAAATTACTTAACTGTCTTAACTATTGTGATGCTCGAATAATGGGGAGCAACCGGGGAGGCTTTGAACCCCATAGCTCGTTTTTAAACTTAAATTTTTTAGGAATCCCACGCCCGTATATATTAATTAAGCCCTAGTTACGCTGATGTATAACTATAATGTCATTATGACCGATGAAGTGTGTTTTACGTAGACTATACAGAGTGTCCCTTGAGTATATACCCATTAGCAGTAGAGGTAGTAGTCTCGTCACCCGGATAAAAACCAGTTTCTCGCCGTTTTATCCATAAATTAAAAAAATTATTAAAAACCACGAGATTAATGAAAATAAAATATTGAAAGGCAATCATTTTCAGAAAAATATACTCTATAAAAAAGGTACCTTTATTTTTTTCAAAAATTAAAATATTAAAAAATATTTTTTAACTTTGTTAACATAAAATTAAATTTAAAAAAAAATGCATGTAGCCGTTGTCTATGTAAGTCTAATAAAAAATAAATAAAACAGATTTCTGATATATTTATTATCTCAGGAGATATCGCAATGGGTAAATCCTCGCGGGACACCCTGTATAGACTTTTTTACGTTTGATTCGATTTAACGTATGCATATGTACTTTTATAATATGTTTAGTGGTTATCATATATTAAATATAATACTTAATTTCTAAATGCATTTAATAAGATATTTACGAATAATGGATAAGCGGACCAATGAAGAGATGGGTGCATTTTCTCCTTTACCTATCAAACATGACGTGTTAAAATAAGCATAAAGAATTTATAAATAATATTTATTCGAATACAATAAGACATTATTTTAAACTTATCACATTCTGGATTATTTCTTAATTCGATAGATTTCAAT